CTGAACCATGGCCCCTTGAAGAAATACCAAAAACACGAACACAAAGATAGTCGTGAGTACGAACCATTATCCTTAGAGGAAACGCAGCCCGACAAACAAGATCAATTGCAGTCAAGCGACCATCTTCAATTCTTTTTGAAGGTCTTCCCATTAGCAAGCTATGCGTTCGTCGCTTTTTTTACCTTTTATTTGTGCGTCAGTGCGGTGCTTACTACCCTGACCTTCCCATCAGCATCATTCCGTTTTCGCGACCATTACCAGTACTACAGATTTACTAGCAGCATTGGACGAATGTTTGGAGGAATCGAGTTGATGTTGGCTTCACGTCTCTGTCCCAAGCTCAGCAATTTTGTCTGTCGGAATATCTGGGTTCTTGTCCTGGTTCATATAGGTCATCTGATATTTTTTCTCTTTGCCTCATGGAATCATTTCGTCCCAAGTGTTTATACAATATTGGTGTTATGTGTTACTCTTGGCATTTCAACATCGTCCATCACGGTGCGAGCACTTTCCTCTGCCGCCGAATGCTTTGCCAAATCACGTGACAAAGGCACGGCGTTGGTGATCACTGCGGTCGGCTGTGCAATGGGTCGACTTGCTGCAGGGCTTCTGGGTATTTTTGTAGAAGATTACTTTCGACGACACTGTACTAACCAGCTTTTGATGGGGAAATTCTGTTTGGCAAGATTTCCTTACACGGCTGGTTGGAACAAGAATTTAGACTGCATTTAAAGTACGGAATTTTGAGGCGAGCGCGGTGCTTATAACTCTGAGTTTCTCATCAGCAACATTCCGTGGTCTTGACCATTACCAGTATTGTTCCAAACAAATCTTGTTATATGGCCCAAGTCAGTCGTAGAGCTCCCAACCAGATAAAAGTACAAGCCGCGCTTTGCCAAAACTAAACTAACATCCCGCTACTGTTTTCAATTCCGTTGGTTTTACAGTGACAGGGTTGACCTCGCCAACAATATTAATGTTTAGAATTTCTTTGTACGCAGGCATAATTTCTAAAAATAAATGAGTCCTTAATGTTTTTGTCTCTAGAGGGTGTCCTGTCTAAGAATAAAAGGTATTTTGTTTGCACTGGGCTTCCCGCACTTTTAAAAAGTTGTATATAGACATATATAATGTTGTGGGACAAATATAACCTKGACAAAAAGGCTTAAGCTCCTACGTCGCCGAGGCCAGAACCCAGGCTTCCTATATAAGTGCTTATATAATTCACCTGGACGTGGGGTTGGCATGCTGGCTGGCTCACGATGTGTTCCTATGAACACCAGCCTCCCTTGGCGAAGATTCCTCGTTGGGATTATCTTGTACCATTCACTAATCTGTACCTGGACGGAGAATTTGGGATTGCGTCGCCCAGGAGCTCACACTCCAGCTTACTTCCGTGTTTTTCTTTTTCCTTGAAGCTGGTTTGCTCTTTTAGTCTCCTCCCAAGAGAAGCTCATGAGGTTCAGTGATTTTTCCCCAGAAGGCATAATTCCCAGGACTGATTTCACTCGATGGGTTGACTGGAAGGGTGACCTCCTCAGCATGGCGGACCCGTTGGGKGAGGTCTCTATATGGTTTTGGGTCTATTAATACATCTTATAGGGTAAAAAAGGAGGGCGCGTGAYCATACCTCCCTTATCGCCTAACTCGGCCTACTGTGTATGACACATGTTGTGTGACACAAGGTTTCTCACCCAGTCAGTAACGAATATACCTAGAAGTACATAAAAAAGTGTCCATCTCGCTAATAATCTCGTCRCCATCGGATGTTCCAAAAAGTTGTTTTTACACAACCAATCACAACGCGCGTACATATAACACGGCAAATGATTAGCCTGCGTAGCGGCCCTAAGGGGATTGGGGAGGGCCGGCCGAGCGGGGAGTTTCCCCGCTCGGCCTGCCCTCCCCAATCCCCTTAGAGCCGCTACGCAGGCTACAAATGATTGGTCCTTGTCGATACTTTTTCAAGCTGAGCGGACAAGAAACGAAAACTTAGTCGATGGTGGCAAACGAAGTCAAGTTTGCATCACGAGAATTTYACACCTTTTGCCGAAACAACCATTTCTGGTTTTTGATAGAAAACATACTTTACTTTATGAGCAGTGTAGCGAAAGTAGTTCAAGAGCAATATAGACCTCTGCAAGAATATAGTACATTAGTCAATAAGCCATGATGTGTAAAGTACTTGAAATTTAGGAATAAATAGATGCTTATGAGAGCTTAACTTAAGATAGCAAAGATCTTGGGGTTTCATTCACCTGAATTCAAGACAAATTGACTATGTATCAAAATGATATTTTCTTCTTTTTGTTTAACTCAGTAAAAACATTTCCCGTTTTTCAGTGTCGTTCGCGTATTTAAGTGAGTCACAGTCAACTGGCCATGCATGCGATTATGCAAAAAGATTTATATAATAACATCAATAATTATTCAAACTCTTGGCTTGTCTTGTCGAGTTTGGTCAAGCAAACAAAGATTCTATCTTCAGGACCTGTCTTCAGGTCCTGAGTACGTTATTATTATTGTATCAATTGGGAACAAAAACCGACTACAATACTCCCAGCAGCTCAAAAAACAAATAACAAGAAGAGTGATTGGATTCATTTCACTKATTCTGGATTGAAAAGTAAGTGACTTAATTCTAGTAATATTATTTTTTTATCAGTGATCAGTTCAGTATATTGCAAGCCAACGAGAACTCGTAATTGTGCTAAGAGATTGATGAGAACACAACGTAAAATAGTAGCCATATGCATTGCATGTATTAGTAAGGGTGCCAACTAGTTGGCACGAAGTGGAAAGGAGAAATTCCGCCGCTTGAGTTATTGAAAATAATTAAAAGATCATCATTGAAAACTATAAAAGCATATATAGAATAATTTCAAATTAATATTTTAAWAGGGAACGCTGGTCATGAAGTACGCTAATCTCGTGGCGTTATGTGTATTTTGCTACGCCACAGCTCAAGCTCTTCCGAGGGTGATCATAATTATAGCTACACAAGACATTGTGGCAGGAACGTTGATCCAGTCCGGCGTTGTGCTAATACTCTACAGTTGTGCAGACACGCTAACTAAAATATGCAGTCCCTCTCTGATCAGGAAGATCTCATTTCTCCTTACTATAACCCTCAATGGCTTGGTTTGGTTTATAGCATACATACTACTAGTGGCAGCTGACAACGTAGTGGTTCGACTTGTTGGAGTATGCCTTTTTGGTATTGGAAATGGCTTGGCTAATTCTGTASTGATGATGCTGTTGGGCTACTATGATGAAATAGATAAGAACTCRASTGCWKTYAYCTTGGGACACAGYGTGTCCAACCTATTGGGTGCATTCCTATACACTGGTAAGTACTATTAATATAATTAATAATTCAATTTTCGATGG